GGGGGGGGGGGGGCTGAAAGGCACCAAGGGCCCAAGGGGGAGGGAGGGGAGGGATTTTCTTGCGTGCTCGTGAGTCTATGGATCGGGTGACCGAGGCCAATGCTTCGCCCACCTGTCACCCACCCGACGGGTGACCCAGAGCAAATATTGACCCGCCCATGACCCAGAAATGCCCACTAGCTGCACGCGCCCGTCACCCACCCAAGGAGGCATAGGTAGACCCAAGCCCAACCCAATCACCTTGTGGGTCGGGTGGGCAGGTGGGTGCGGCTGTGGGCACCCGGTGCCCACCTCTCAGGTATAGCACCTGCTGGTGGGTGCAGCTCCTTTGGAGGCTTGAGCACGGATGTGGCAGATGCTACCGGCTGGCCCCTGGTCCGTATCGCCCACCGGCTGTAGCAGGTATCGCACTGCTGGTGGGTGCTCGTTGGAGGCTTGAGCACGGATGTAGCAGGTATAGCACCTGCTGGTGGGTGTAGCTCCCGCATGTTCCCTCTTTGGAGCCTTGAGCACGGATGTGGCAGATGCTACCGGCTGGCCCCTGGTCCGTATCGCCCACCTGCTGTAGCAGGTATCGCACTGCTGGTGGGTGCAGCTCCCGCATGTTTCCCTCGTTGGAGGCTTGAGCACGGATGTGGCTGCTACGGGGTTCCCCGTAATACTATAATGACAATAAAAACCGCGTGAAAGGCCGTCCTGTCCAGATTCGACAGGTAATTGAATTGGTTGGCCTGGAGACGGCATCCTGCCCGCTGTCTATTTTTGTTGGGCCCACCAGCTTCCTTCGCCATCGCAGTTTCCCCGAACCCCGAAAGCTTGGGCGCCGGTGGCGTGGAACGACGACGGACTCCAGTATTTTTTTAATTACAATGCGGTGTGGTGGCGCACTACAGTGACTGTGGTGTAGCGGTATGGAAAGAGGCCCTAATCCAGAGGAGATTAGTGCAACTGACCCTAATCCAGAGGAGATTAGCGCAACCGACCCTAATCCAGAGGAGATTAGTGCAACTCTACCGCGCTGTGGAACAACGCAAGTCTACCGTAGCGCGCACTACAGTTTTGAGTGTGGTGTAGCGGTATGCAAAGCGGGCCTAATCCAAAGGGTGGAACAATGCAACTCTAGCGCGCTGTGGAACAGTGCCGGACTGAGGTTTCGAGTGTAGTGTACTGGTGTGGAACGAGGCCCAAAATACTGTTCTAGCGTGTTTGTGCACGCATTCGAGCACGAAAACGAGCAGATTTTGAAAACGAGTCTGAAAGCGACCTGAAAAACTGGCGTGAAAAGGGGGGGACTCTGGCTTGCAATGTGTCTCTCGAGCGGGAAAACAAGCCGGCAAAGCGAGCGGGAAAACAAGCGGTGCTAAGCGAACGGGTACGTAGGCGGGAAGGAAGACGCCATAGCCCGCGAGCGAGCGAGCGAGAGAGAGAGAGAGAGAGAGAGAGAGAGAGAGAGAGCAGTAACAGGAGCGCAAACTAGCTTGCCACGTGTTTCACTCGAGAACGGCCTAAATCGTTGACGGACAGCGTCGTCCTCGAGGCCAAACGGTGATCGGATGGCGAATCATACAAACGCGGACTTGATGACGAATGATAGCGGGCGGCTTTAAGATATCAGGGTACTGTGGCTGACTGGCGATCAGTAATCACATCTACCGGATTTCAAATTTCAGGGAGAAAAGGCGGGCAAAGAACGAGAGAGCAACCGGCACAAAAAGGGAGAAGAGGGGGGGGGGGGGGGGGGGGGGGGGAGAGAGAGAGAGAGAGAGAGAGAGAGAGAGAGAGAGAGAGAGAGAGAGAGAGAGAGAGAGAGAGAGAGCGGAGGTACGGAGGAGTACGAAGACAAAGTGAAGGGGCCATAAGATGAGTCTAAGTATAGCCTGCCGCCACGTGGCATTCCCGTCAGTGAGTTCCGCGAAGCATAGTATTTTCGTTGATGACGCATCTAATCATGCAATGTTACGTCCTAGTTCCTCCACCTGTGCGCATCTTCCACGTATGCGATTCTCCTCTCGACGATGGACGTGTAAGATTGCCGAGCCTTCTGGAAAGCGAGCTCCCATGGGGATAAAAACCAGGTACAAGGACACGTGGCTGGTCGTGCAATGGCTGTTTGCGCAGAAAATGTCGCAGATCATTGGTAAGGGGGAGCCTCGGTATTGGACTTGCGTCCTCGCGTTTTTCTTTAATTTTTAATTTTTATTCTTTTCCGGAGGAGAGTTTTTTTTCGGGGGGGGATTTTTTTTTTTTGGACCTTTATTTAGTTATTTATATATATCTATATATCCCTCTCTGTTTGACGATATATAAACAGTTTGTCACAGCCCCTCGTTTGCCGTAGGCAGAGAGAGAGAAGAGGAAAACAAACGAGGGGCTGTGGCAAACTGTTTCGTATATATATTTTTTGCTGGAAACCGGGTCCATCGTCCCATGAAATAACAATCGTTGATGTCGAAGAATGTACAGCCTCTGGCCACAAGAAAAAAACATGGTTCAGACTACAAAAAGCAGACCTACGTGGTCATCAACTTCTCATTGGATCTGGATGGACGTGGACTTGGGCATAGACTGAGAAGACAGGGCGGCTTCTTTCCCTTATGCGTAGCTCACGGCCGTCTGGGGCCCGGACCTTTGTTTTTAATTTGGACCATTTCTCGATTCATGCGTGTCGTCCTTGGCGCAGGGGCCGTGCTAATAGAAGCCCTTTTAATCTTCTCTGTCCGTTCCAATTGGATGTCGCGAAGGACGGGGAGGAGAGAGTTGTACAATGAGTGCATGCAGAGTACGTAAAAACAGCACGACAGTACTGTATGCAAATAGAAGCCCGTTTAATTCGGGCGTGCTCACAGTACGTAGCACTTTTCTGTAGTACGTAGCACTTTTCTGTACGTAGCACGTAAAAACAGCACGACAGTAGTGTATGTGACCGCAATTTACGGCGGGAGGGGACGTGCATGCAATCACTTTCGGAGCCCAGTCCAAGAAGTCCTAAGTAGTGTGGGTATCCCCTTCATTATTTTCTAGGCTTGTGCTTGTGATCCATCCTAGCCTCCGAACCCCATGTTTTTCTTTTGGGAATGAGAAAGTTGCATCTGTATACCCAGTCCCAGTGCAAACTTGCATTTGCTCGCCTGGGACCGAGGTGGACCCAGAATGGTATTGCTCTACCCCAATGCACAAATTAGGTACATACCCAGGCAAATTTATGCACAATTTATGGACGTACCCAGGAAAAATTATAAGCATAGCCTCCGGCCCTGATGTGGAAATGGCCAAATTATTCATATACCCTACTACCGGATGGCTGAAATTATGCGGTGGGCCGTAACGGTTCTCTTGGTGGGCATGGGCATAATTTGGTGGTCCAACCGAGGCCTTTCAGGACTGGGTACACCTCCAGTTTTGCACAGGGGCTAAACATAATTTGGTGGTCCAACAGAGGGCCCTCAGGACTGGGTACACCTCCAATTTTGCACAGGGGCTAAAAACCTGGGTGCTATGCAAAGTTGAACGGGCTCTGGGTGTAGATGCAAGTTCTTGCTGGGACTGGGCATAGCAGGTATTCCCATCTTTAAATGGGGTACAGATGCAATTTTCCCTTTTTTTTTTTTGGTTGCAATCCTGGTCTTACTACTCAAGAGACCCCAACCTTCTACCTCACGTCAGTTTTTCCTGGTATACCCCCCACCCGACCTCAGTGCCTACCAGTCCGGACCATCATCAATCTACCAGTTCTTGGGCCGCTCGGACCAGGCTGTGGTCAAGCGCTATCCAGCCCTGGTTGAGGCCTCTTGTCGAACCAGCCTTGTCGCGTACTTGGGACGTGAGGCAATAATTGCTCTCTCTACTGGTCCCTTGAGTAGACCGCAGAATGTGCCCCCCATCCAGGGGTCCATGTTTGGAGCACCACCAGTACTTTTGCCAGCCATTTTTCACCAGCGTGGCTGCATGCCATGCCGTGTTAGTTGCAGGGTCGGCCTACCAGAACAAAATGGCTGGCCGCACCAGCCAAAGAAGTGACTTGTGGGCTCCTTTTTTCAGCCATTTTTCACCAGCTCGGCTGCAGGTGGCACAAATTGCAGGGTCAGCCTACTGGACCAAAATGGCTGGGCTGGCGGCCCCAGCCAAAAGAAGTGACGTGCGGGTTCCTTTTTTCTTTTGCTGCACAGGGTGTGTCCAGGCCCGGAAGGGGAATACTGGTGGTTTAAACCACCAGTGCCTTTCCCTGCTTGAAAATCCGAGGCCGGTGGTTAACACGGAGGCCCTATTCGGCCTCCAGAGCCGACCAGGTACATCGGCGGCCCTTGGCACACAGCGCCCGCGGCTGATGTATGAATATGAGAAATGTACTGGCGGTTTAAGCTACCACAGGCAGTGTCTAATTGCCATCTGAACAAGGGGAGCCCTACCCTAAGCAATTCCCCCTACCTAGCACAAGTGCACCCTGCATATGTTTTTCTGAATTGGTGTCTGTGGAGATATGCAGTTTGCTAGATTTTGCATATTCCTTGCTTAGCCATAAAACGGATCTGTATTGTGCACCTGGGTCCGCCCCTCCGTTTGTGCCTATATTCTACATGCTCCTGGCCACTACACCGCTCTTGTTCGTGCCTCTGGTTCTTGGGGATTATGGAATGACGGTGCTATGGTGCAAACTATTACTACCATTTGTGATCTCGTGCGTAATTACCCTAACCTGCAACTGTTCCAGGTCATTGACCCTATGGGTACCTCGTGTACTTCGATGCCCGCCTCTACGCCTATCTCTGAGCCTGCCTCTGTACCTGTCTCTGTGCCTGTTTCTGTGTTTGTCTCCTTCCAGATTATTGACCTCCATGCCTGTCACCGTGCCTGCTTTAGTCTTCATTCCCCCACATGGTGCACTAACACCTTGTGACCTCCTTCTTTGTGAGATCACTGACACAGTTACACTTGGTTGTGGAAAACATCGACTTTGTCGACATCACTACAAGCGTATAATTTTTTGGGCCCGCTGTCGGCAGGGATGCCACCTCTATCCGGATTGTGAACATCCTCTACATCCAGATGCAGTATGTCCCATCTGTGCCTGCGGGCGCTATAGCGAATGTGCACTTAACTATGATGGTGAACGCCCCACAATTGTCATGGCCTGCAACCGGCATGCCCTATGTCGTGCATGCTTCAAAGGTATGGTTAATGCTAGCCGCCCTGGCTCCTGCTGTGACGAAGTTGCTTACCTTAATGGTTTTCGTCCTGTAGATCAGCGAGAGGGCTGCTACCATCGTCCGCATCCTTATGACAGTTGTCCTATCTGTCATGAGGGTCTTACTTAGACGTACCTTGCACCCTGATAAAAATGTGGAGGTGTGCTGAAAAGAGTGTACAAGAATGTGCAAAGGTGGGAAACCCTTCACTCAAACTGCAAAACAGTGAAGAATGCAGTAAAAGAAGAACATAAGTTTGTGCCATTTTACTTTGTTTGTACCCTACACCCTTACACCCTCAAAGGAAAAGTCCGAAGGGTGAAAATGAGAATGAAAAATGAAGAAGTGCAGGTGCGCTGAAAACCGAACGTGGTAGACTCTTCACCAAAACTGCAAAACTGTGAAAGAAAGAAGAATGCAGTAAAAGAAAGAAGATATTTGTGTCAATTTATTATTATTATTTTTTTTTTTTCTCCCTCTGCCTATCAGTTTTCCTTTTCTGCTCCTCTCTTCCTTGTGTTTAACACCTCTGCCTCTTTCTCATAGCATGCAAGTGGGCTGTTATGGCATACAGGGATGGGGGCAGTTCGCACTAAACTTCATCAATGTGGCGAGCCTTGTACGTTAGAGGCACAGTGGAGGAGGCATTAAGAAGACTGAGAAACTGAATGACTTCAATGTGTCTTTGTTTTTTTATTTTCATCCCTTGTTCAGTGTAATGTTTTTTGTAAAACACTGAAAGAAATAAAAATACAGTGAAACAAAGAATAAGAGGACACTGTTTTGTGTTATTCTGGTTTGTCTGTCTCTTTGCCTGTCTGTTCTTTCATTTTTATTTTCTTCGCTCATCTCATTTCTTCTTCTACTTCATGTGCTTACGCTCTTAGTCAATAGTTCTGTGACAATATATCTATGAAATACCGGCGGATGCGGCATGTTTTGAAACCCTAAAGCCAAAAAAAACTTGCGCCGGCAAAGAAATCACACGCCAACTCGAAATGAGTGATTCCGATCCAAAAGTATCCATTGGACTTTTTTTTTTTTTTTTTTTTTTTCACCTCTGACACCACGGGCAACCTCTGTAAATATGACACCCGGTCTGACACCGCGGCCATCAGTACTTCAATCGCCTTTTTGAACTCGACACAATTTTCTTTGCCCGCGCATGTTTTTTTTGCCCATTCGATAGTCAAAAGGTGACATGAACGTACTTACCTCTTCATGTATATATACAACCCGTTTTTGTAGTTGTACACTTATTCATCTCTTTTGAAGACCCTAGCCTCATGATCTGTGAGTTTGCATTTGTTTGCTGTGAATCTTATGTCCGTTGTACCACACATGTATGTTCTGTTCGACAGGATCACTCGTATGTCTGTTGTGAATCTAGATATGTCAGTTGTATCACACATGTATGTTCTGTTCCAGGGGATCACTCGTCCATGCTGCTACCTAGCCTGGTAGAACTAGCCCACCACCCATGCAGCAGGGGCCCACAATTACGGACGCAGATACAGGTCCATTCCCTCAAAACCCCACCTGCCTCCTCACGATTCAGGGTATAGACTATACCCCTACTCTGCACTCCCTCCCTCTAAGGATATGGCCCCGCGATCCTCCTTCTCAACTATTGCCTAACCCACTAGAACTACCCAGCACCCACTCGACAGGGGTCCGATAAGGTGCAGATCCCACAAACCCCACCCATGTCCTTGCTTTTCAGTGTAGACCACTCCCCTACCCTGCACTCGCTCCCTCCTCCAGGACTCGCTCCCTCCTCCAGGGGCCTCACTTCATCCCTCCTTCAGGGACCTCACTGTTGTGCATGATGAAGCCTTCACAAAGCAATGCTCCTTTCCCCATCCCTTCAGACAACCTCCGTCATGTGTACTCCGCTACTGTCTTACACTGCTAGTACACGGCCCCAGCCTTGCATAAAGTTTTTATCGCCACA